TTTGCATTCATGATCAATACAAAGCTGTAGTACAAAGCTCACACCTTTCCTTTACACTTGTGCGCTTCCACCCCTCTAAAGGTTTAGATTCATTTGCTCTTTAGTTCAGTTCTAACAAAGATGACTCAAAGAGAGCCCTAAGTTAGTAACATTGATCTAGAAAATTCTCTCACTTTCAGTTGAATATGAAGGATTATTAATGGTTGCCGTCATGAAATATCACACAGTTCTTACATTTTTGGTGGGGTGTGCCAGTTGACCGTTTCCCTGTGGCTGCTGTTCACTGCCAACACTGCCTCCCGTCGCCTCAGTCTGCACTGCCGGCCTCAGACATCCTGCGGTAAAGACAGATCAGTGGTTACCCTTGAGTGATAGGCTGTTTAGGTAATAATTAAAATAATTATTCTATTTCAAATGAAATAAAATCTTGTTAAAAAGAAAACTGATTGATTGAATAAACATGTTAAATAATTAAGATTATGATACAAACCATTATTGTGCTGCCCTGCCTCCAGTCTGCTGTAAGCAATCCGTTTCAAACAGGCTCGTAAGATCTATCTATAACAGGGGTGGGCAACTCCAGGCCTCGAGGGCCGGTGTCCTGCAGTTTTTAGATATCACTCTGGGTCAACGCACCTGAATCACATGATGAGTTCATTCATTACCTCTGGAGAACTTCAAGACATGGTGAGGAGGTCATTTAGTCATTTAAATCAGCTGTGTTGGATCTAAAACCTGCAGGACACCAGCCCTTGAGGCCTGGAGTTGCCCACCCCTGGTATATAAGCAGGAAAGCTCCACCCACCTGCAGTTCAAATCTTTTGTTTACAAGGGGCAGCCAATCAGAGGAAACCTGTCTTAAAGGTAGTGAGAATGGAGCTAAAAGTGTTTGGATTGGGTTTTTTTGGTTTTGGACTTTTGTTCGGACAAAACAAGACATTTAAAAATGAACAGCACGCTGTTTAAATGAGAGAGTAAATAACATTTAAATATATTGTGTATCGAGTTTATTATTGAGGTTTATTCCAGAATAGATTAGTTTTACATTTCATGCCAGTCTGTCAAGTTATTGATGAGGCACTGATTTTAAAACCACAGATGTGCATTAGCCAAAGAAAATTTAAACACAGTGTTGTGGCCTCCCTATCAAATAAATCATTAGTGTATTGTTCACAGAGGGGTTATAATAATTATCAGCTGAGCTGTTCTATCATGCACAATCTCGATATTCTTGCTTTACTGTAGGCGGCATCACACGTTTTCTTCTTTGATGGTTTTTGATGAGTTGCAGCATGTTTGTACACAACATGTTCTTAAGAATTTGTTACTGCAGGACTGTTTTCCTCTCTGACTGACACCATTTCATGCACATATGCCTCCTCTGAAGCATCTTTCTGAGTTTACATGTCTAAAAATATGACTTGTTCATGCACTTTGACTAAAGATGCATTATTCAACGCCTCTGCAGAGTAATTAAATCTTAATCAGGGATGGGCTCCTGTCCTTATGGAGGCGTGTCTGTGTGAGTGTGTATGTGTTTACGACAGCTCCACTGGATGCTTTTATAGTGTAAGACGGTTTTAGAAGTCTTTCATTAGGAGGGAAACTTCTCACCTGGGGAAAACGATGCAGAGGTTGGCTGAGGTTAAGACTTGGTGCTTAGATGTTTCTTCAGTTCAGCGGTCAGAGCAGGAGGTATGAAGATAATTTGCTCTCCAAAGCGAATCACCTCACACGCTTTAGTTGTAATTTTTCCTTTTAAACTTCACCTTTTTTTTTTGTTCTTTGTCTTGCTGATGCTACTTTGGTGTCCAGCAACAGCCTCCAGCTATAGACTTTATATAAAAGATGGTGGATTATAGCGCATCTGCATTCTTTCTAGTAGCCAACAGGAGGTTGACTCCTTTATTTGAAGAAGTCTGGTTGTATAAAATTTTTGACACCCCTCAACTTTGACCTCTGTCAACTTTGCTGATGTCTTATTTCATACAGAATGGTGTTCTCTTTGTAAATTACAGCGCTCAATGGAAGGACAATACAGCAGAGTGTCCTTTAAGGTTGACCTACCTTGTGATTGACAAGCTCACATGCAATACCAAAACTTCCACTATACTGGTGAACACGCACAACTCCAAGTGCTGTCACATTTGCGATATCGATTATTACAGTAAGTACTGGTTTTGGTGACATGCCTACTTAAATCATGCCTTAAATCAAACAATCAGTAAAAACATGGCACTTTTGCCTGACTAAAGTAAACAACCTCTTCACTGTGGATGTGTCCATTTCTTTTATACAGTCTATGTCTCTAGCTTTTTTTTTTTTTTGTTTTGCTCATTTTTGATTCAGTTATTCGAAAAACTAGTCAATATGGCTTACATTAAAGAAATGCGTAATAAAAATGATTCTCAAAAAAGAAGTTGTTGAGATTATGCAGATAAGTTTATTGATTCTCAGTATTTCTTAGGGTCTAGCAAAATTCAGTAGCATATAGTAGTAGTAATAGTATGAAAATGAAATGTCTAACTCTTGTTTAATGTTCTTTTTAAATCAGACAATTCTCAAACCAGTAAATAAAGCCATCGGCTATGAATTGCATGCTGTTATAATCAGTGTTGATCAAAGTCCTGCAGGCTGTTAAATTTTGTAAAAACTCAAGCACCATGTAGTACAACCTAATATTTCAGTTTGTTCACTTTTTATTCAATATTTTAACTTGCGTGGCGCTTTCCCCACAAGTATAAAATCATTTAAGTTACCTGAACGCATCATTTTCCATCAGATCAAAGAGACTTTGAGCTATTTGCCCATTTTTAACCTCTTGACTTGAAAAGGGTCCAGAGTGGATTGTTTGTATACCATTAGCTCAGAGTAACATTCGCTTTCAGGAGCTTTGTATTCCAAAGTAAAGTCCCTAAAATGTTAGAAAGTAAGCCCCCAATACTCAGTCGACTCAGCTGCACAAAAGGCATGGAATAAAGCCCTGTTCCTCTTTCTGTCAGGAAAGCTCTGGACTCGATCATGTATTAGCTTTTTGTTTTTTTGTTGTTGTTTTTTTTTGGGGGGGGGGGTGTTCATTTTCAAGAATTTTGGCATATGAGTTTAGAGAAAATTTTCACCGCCCTGCAGCTGTGGAGTGTTTTTAAGCATGCAGTGCACAAGTTGATTGAATCATTCATCGTGTTTTAAATGTCAGTCTGACAACTTGTATTGTTCGGTTTGTTTTTACTGGCTGTGAATATTTCAGTTTTTCACCACTTTCTCAGAAAAGTAATGGAAAGCACCTCTGGTGAGCTCCAGCAGCACTACCTCAGTTGACTCCTGTTTGTAGCCGTGATAACCTCCGTCAGCCCTGTTCTTCTGAAATGGTACAATCCCACATCCATATTCCATGTTTACGCTCCTGTCCGGTGCCTTTACGGTTTTGTGCTGACGTCATGCCCCCACTTGCATCTTAAACTAAGCGGGAAATATGTTGACTCTGCTCATTTCTGCGAGGCCTTGGCCCTGTGGAATATTTGGTCTCTGGTGTAATCCGTGGTTTCGTTTGTCCTTATGAGGATGACCCTGAAGTTTAACCTGGCTGTTACTCATTTGCAGCCGCACCAAATTACATCCTCGCTCCAAGGTCTCCTCGTCAGCAAGGACACATGGGGCAGGTTTACTGTACAGGCTTCAGCTGCTGTCCATTCATAGCTCTGATTACCCTGTCAGGCTTTGATGGGCAATGCGTATAATAATGTGCAGCATAGCATACATGGTGATCGGCCGTTGCTGGGTATTGTTTATTAGCTTTAGTCTAAGAGAGTAGCAGCATGAATGTGAACACTAAGCTGTCTGATGTGTAGCTTCCCTTTTTATGAGCATAATAAAGTATCCGCTTGTTAACTAATCGACCCCTTTTCAGGGTCCAACTGTTTCCTGCGTTGGATGAGGCTTTCATTTAAAAAAAGAATTAAGAGCTGCACTGACTTTTTTTCCTCCAAAATATTCAGTTGTTATTTTTGGCCTCTCCAGCTTGTTATTAGTACTGTCTATTACCCCTTGGAGCTATGTTTTTAAGAAGACATGATGTACTCTACAGCCCATAGGCTCAAATATTTAATCTTGTCAACTTGGGTAAGATTTCAGTGTGGACGTTAACTTAAATCAGCAATACAGCCAATGAATCCACCACCAGCTGGGTCCCATCTTTGTGAAATTTACATGTTGTTCTTGATTGAGTTCCCTCTGCGTTCTCTGGATCCCTCCCACAGTCCACATAGGAAGCATATTAAGTTAACTGGTGAGAATTTGCCATAGTTAGAAATGTGAGCAAGATTGGTAGTCTGCGTGCTAGCCCTGCGATAGATTGTAAACCTGTACGCCAGCTCTTGACCCCATGACAGGGTTAAGAAACAGATGGATCTGGCTTGTTAACAGAGTGCAGCTTGGAAACAAGCTCCATTTTCACTTATTTGCCCAAACTTTGTCACACAGATTCCTGTCTCAAGACCAAAACACCGGTTACCCTTAAGTAACACGGTGTCTTTGCATCACTTGGTTCCCTGTCACTCTGTTTTTTGGAGCTGCCCGAGCCACAGGCTCATTTCAAGTGGAGCACAGAAGCATTGCAGCCAGAGATGAATTAAAACGAGTCTCTCTCTTTCTCCTTTTAATATCCTGCATTGGACTTTATTGCTTTTAAATATAGTGACAGACCTTTTCACAAGTACTAGACTATTAGCTAGCATTGCCCAGTACACCTTGATCAGTGTGCAATTTTGTAAATGTGTTGTTATTAGCTCCTTTTTTAAAAATGTTTAATGCAAACTGTGAGTGTGACGCCACAGTTCTCCAAGCACATGTTTACAGGGGGAAAACACGAGAAGTGTAACTTCAGCGGTAACCTTACTCGCTGTATAATAGTTAGACAGCATCTTTTTTTTCTTTTTCTTTTTTTTGGCACATGAGTTGATAAGCAGCACTTTACTGAATAGTGTTTCCTCTCCTTATCTCAGGTGTGGGCGCTGGGCGCTTGCCAGACTGGGTGAGCTGAGAACTAAGACTGAAACCTGTTGAGAGAGAGAGGGGGGAAAAAATATCACCTGGGACTGCTGAGGAGGACCTCTGTGCAGGTGAGGACTGACAGATGTGATGAAGATGAAGTGTTTATACAGGCTTTACTTTTCAAATGGATTTTAGGGTTTGTGATTCACAACATGTGACAGTGCAAAGCAGGTGTAAAACATGACTGATATACATTTGCATGCTTTTTTATGATTTCAGCTTAATAAGTGTAAACTGTTAGAGTAGCAGTGCAGAGAATATGAAAAAGTCCTATTAAAACAATTAAATAAAATCATAAACAAAGAAGATAAAATGGAAAATAAACCCCAACTACCTGTTTTTTGTTTTGTTTTTTTTAATTTTATTTTTCTGCTATCATTCAAAACATTTCCCAGGCTTGTCACTTTAAAGCAGAACTCCAGTGTTACCAAGTAATATTACAACAGGCACAAGCTGTGGTTTCTTTTTCTTTTTTTTTCTTTTAAATTTACCTGCACACCTAACCTGCTTAGGTATGCAGCATGAGTTACCATGGCAATGCAAAGTAAACCACCTTTGTAATACTAAAAAGCAAAGATTAAACCTGAAGATACTTCACTAAAGCCCCAAATCCTGCTTCAAAGTACAGGCCTGTGGCTTTAAATGAACAAAATATTTTGTCTGCATGACTCGCATGTTAAACGCGTTACTCTCTGGGTTAGACTCACAGCGTTTGTAACACTGAAAGCTTCATTTTGCATTATTAACAAGCTATGAGCAAATTAGAGAGTATTTCCTTGCTCTGAAGATCCTCAGATCTAAAAGACTCGGTATCCTTTCTAAAGTTGACAACTGCAACACCTTTTTTGCTAAAGTCTACCTCTATGCCCTCACCTCTCGGCACTTTTGGTACTCCAGAGTTGAAGTTTTCTGTCACAGATATCTGCAAAACAAACACTGCATGCTGCATCTGCATCTCACAGAGCTTGAAATGTGTTTACTGTGCAATATTAAAAACGCACAGTAATCAAACATGGTTTTAATGACGCAAACCTTTGGCAAACTGCAGCATTGTCACTGTGGAAACCACCTACCGTTCTTCCTGACTAATTGATGTCCAGAGTTTGGCAGTTAAAAAAAAAAAAGCAGACAAATGGTTGTCAGATTTATTAATTTTGAAAATAAGCTTAAGTCTTAATGTAGCAACACTGATAGGACGGGCCTGCTCTCTTTAAAAATGAGGAGAATAGACACAAGGGACATTGAAACACCTTTCCTTACATTGAAGTCAGTTTGGCTACTTCATATCCTGACTGTCAGCTTCAGTTGGGAAATTTGCTAATCAGAAAGATTTAGACCATGCCCACATGTCTCTGTCATTATCCCTGTGACCTCAGAGTAATCATTAAAGAGAGAACTGCTTGGGAAGGAAATGAGGAGAGAGAAAAGGGAGTTGGAGAGGCTGTTTCTCCTCAGTCAAATGATATTGGAGTGAGGAGAGGATATAGAAAGGAGATATGATTCTGGCCGTGCGAGGCATTTACATACGGTATGGAAATGTGACAGACTCTGGCGTTGAGGACACATTTGCTGCTGCTCTTAGGTTCACACGGCCGTCAGCAGGGTGGAGCTTCCTGACCCATGGAGAATTACTTCCAGGCCGAGGCCTTCAACCTGGACAAGGTGCTGGACGAGTTCGAGCAGAACGAAGGTGAGCTTTAATAGATGCAGACAGCAGACGAGGACAAGCGGTGAGTCATTGCGGACGAGGAAAGGCGAACAGAAAAGGAAGAGCTGCTGTCAGCGTGCCATTGCACAACCTCTGAGAGTAAATCATCAAGGTGTCAGAAAATCAGCCACCGCCCATTAAGTCTGAGTAACATTCACAGGTGGGGATTGAGGGCGGGCCACGAGGGGATAGGATTAATTGAATTTCCCATTTCCCTTAGGCTTTGAGACATCGTGTAACTGGTGCAAGACAGGAGGGTTGGCTGTTTTCATCACACTTAATGATCCCAAAAGTGTGTCGGAGCCTTTTTGGAGACTCCGTGATTTCACAGTTTATTTATGGTAATTGTGAAGTAAACACTGCATTACTGAGCTGTGTATCTGCATTCTCTCAGCATTCCAGCACAAATGCCTGTTATAGGGGAAAAAAAGGATGGCTCTTCTTCTAAATTTGTCTTCTAAAGTCCTGCAGATCCATGGGCATAAAGTAGAGTTTAATGTTACTGTGAACTTGGTGTGTATTTTGTCTGTGTGTGGTTATCTTTGACCTCTGTCAGAGATCCAGCTTGGCAGATTAAGTGTGTGTGTGTGTGTGTGTGTGTGTGTGTGTGTGTGCTGCACACTGAAACAGCTTAGCATGAACTGCAGCGGATGGAGGCGAGGGCCGACTGTGTGAGGAAGTCGGTTTAAAGAAATATTTTAAGAATTTCTACTTGTATTACACAGCAGTTATATGTCGGCTTGACTGATGGCTCCCAGGGGCGAGCGAGCCATTTTGGCCCACTTTCTCAGAATTTCCCAGTCCATCCACACACTAATTTCCCACTCCATGCCAACCTCATTTCTCAGTTCATCCCCTGCTTTGTTCCTGCCATTTATAGCTTTTTCGATCACCTGGAAGTGTGTATCTTTGTATCAGTTCTCTGTGGCTGTTCTTGTGAGGCTGTTCAAGGGTTCATGATCTCCTAACCACTTCCTCGTATTTCACATTTCATGTGTTAAGCAGAAAATTGGAAGCTGTTTGGAAAGTGTAGATAAATGGTTGTGTCCGGCAAATGCAAAGTGGAATAGGGGACTACATCAAGACAAATATTAATTTATGTCTTTATAGATATTAAATGGTGCAGACTTCATAAGACCAAGCATGAGCACCAATTTTTCTGACATGAGGATGATAATACCAGTTTAGACATTAATATTTTGGTTGATTTCGTAAAAAAAAAAAAAAAAGTTGTAGATATAATTTGTGAGTACATTAAAATACGTTCAAAGAGCTTCTGCTGAGATCCATACAGTCTTTCATTTTCCTTTTTTCTTTTTTCTCTGCAGATGAGACGGACACTCCCATTCTTTCAGATGCTAAGTGGACCCAGATCCTGGCCCCACCAACCCACATGCTCTCTTTGAACCCTGCGTTGGCTCACGCAGACCTCAGCCCCCGGGAGAGTCCCCTGTCATTTAAGACCCTCCCCGACTCATCCTCCACCCCTCCCTCAGGGGCTGATCCGAAAAGGCATCCTGGTCCCGAACCTCCATCCTGGGCAGAGGAGAGGCCGGCAGACGTCCACAGCCCTCCCCTCCCCCAGCCCAATATCGGCAAACTGGTGGGCACCGACGACCTCTCGCCGCCCCCTGTGACGGCCTCTGACAACGTGGAGAATGGCTGCCTGTCCAGTCCACAGCTGGGTGCCCTCAGCAAAGAGATAAGTTCTCCTGCAGACATCCAGCTTGGTGATTCTGGCCAGGAGACTAAACGTGAAGAGACAGCTGCCTCGTCCGGAGGAGGAGGCTCGTCTGTCAGTCACACTCGCTTCAGCTTTGAGGTTGGATTACAGGAACAAATACCCTCCACGAAAATTCTCCCAAATGTGGAACACACGGCACAAAATGGGGATGATGGCAGTTCAGCTGCCTTACAGGACTTTGGCCTAGAAACGCAAACTGGAATTTTAAAAGAGGAGCAAGGGGAAAGTCTCCTGAATGGAAGCAGGGTTGTTCAGAGTGGGTGTGAGTTGGAGGAGAACGGTGTGTCTCCTTCGGACAAGGTTGGGCTGGAGAAGGAAAGGAGATGTGGTCCAGAGGGACAAGTAGACCAGCACCACAGAATAGCAAATCTTCCAAATGGTTTGGAACAGGAGACCAGCTCTAAGCCTCAGGAGGTGGAAGAGAGTTTAGAGGAAGGTGTTTCCCCCTCTCCTGTCCCCTCAAAAGAGGACTCTGTAACTGAGGAGAAAGAAATGGAGGAGAGCAAGCAGGAAAGCGGCGAGGGAGGAGCGGGGGGATCGGGTTGCATCCAACCAAAACTCAACAACCGGCTGCAGCCAGTCAGCATTCCCTATGGAGGCGCCCGACCCAAACAGCCCGTCAGCCTCAAGCTCCAGATCCCACAGCCGTTGTCGGGCCAGGTGCAGAACCTGCTCAGTCCGTCTGTCGCCAACAAGAACAAGAACCTCGAAAACCAATGCCGGAAAGGCACACCCTCCGAAACGTCGCCTGGCGGGACTGACCAGAGTGCAGTCAGCGTGAATGGAGAGGGCATCATCCACTCTCCATCCCTCATACCCCCAGAGAGCCCAGACAATGATCTCCAGGCAGGGCAACAAGGTGCTCTGTGCAGGAAACCTACCAGCTCTCTGGGAGAGGTCGCCCCTGTGTGGGTGCCTGACTCCCAGGCTCCAGTCTGCATGAAATGTGACGTCAAGTTCACCTTCACCAAGAGGAGGCATCACTGCAGGGCCTGTGGCAAGGTCAGTGGTGTACTAAAACTGTGCTAATCTAACCCATAAAGAGCAGTCTAGCTATAATGAGCTGTTACACAACAGTGTATCTCTGTGATTATGTTGTTTTTGATGTTTAATTAATCTCGTAAGTGTGCACCAAAAGTAGGCAGTGTTTTAATATTAAGCAAAAACAGAAACGGCGAGATGGAAAAACATGTGGAAATAGCTTTGATAGATGAAGGAGGTAAATTTAATGCAGGGCTGTGATAGATGCTTTCCTCTTTAGGCATTTATTTGCTGATAGTTGGGCAGGTAGCTTTATAGCATTATGCCCACCCACACACACAAAGCAGGTTGTCTGCACTGTGCTCTAAGCTGAAGATGCAGTCGCTGACAGTGCAGTGGAAAAATCGGCGGACTGCTACTTAATTTCCCATGGTAGTAAACAAAATCACACACGCTCCTTGCCACTTGAGCAGGGGGGAGCTGGCACTGCAGTAATACTAACACCTGCACTGGGGCTGCAAACAATAGGCGCAGCGGGAACCTCGGTGCACCCTCCACCACAGTGCTAGATCCACAACTAGATTATAATGGTGCCGCGTGGCTCTGAAATTAAAAGGATCATCTACCCTCTGTCTAATTATTTAAAGTACATGATACTGGAAAATGACACGTAATGAGGTACTAATCCATTGAAAGAAAAGTGTCGTGTACGCAGCTGCAGCTCATTGACGCGCTGGCTCAGTACATGAAATCAGTGTCCATAAAACGCTACATTTCCTGCACATTTAATGACAACTTTCTGGACGTTCTTTAATTAAAAAATAATAATAATAATTTTTACGTTGAAGGTGATGATGTCATGTTGGAGGTTTGGTCATTTGTAGGATTCTGGTGTGGATTATTTTTCTGTCTCTCCGTGTTGTTTTTAAGGTGTTCTGTGCGGCGTGTTGCAGTCTGAAGTGCAGGCTCACGTACATGGACAGAAAGGAGGCTCGTGTCTGTGTCACCTGTCACTCTGCTCTGACAAGTGGTGAGCATCATTGCAAGTACTGCAAGGTTTCTTCTTTGCAACTTATGAAATCAGATGTTAGAGGTGCAAATTGCTAAGTGTTTCCTCCGTATCCTTTTAATGAATTTAGTATGTCCAGATAAAACCTTTGTCCAATTTTACATTTTCTTTATTTGCAGTCACACAGTAGACAGCGGTATATAAAATCATCTGTGTTTATACAACTTTCCAGTGTAATTCCGCTTAGAAGTTTGTTTCTTTCTTTTTACATAATTACAGAACACAAAAACAGACCATGGAGTATTACTTGCTTTAAGAAAGAGAGAAGAATTGGAGAAATAAAAGTGAAATAATTTATAAGAGACTAATAATAGAATAAATAACAAGATTAAACAGTAATAGGGACTTGGTAAGATGTGCTTTCTCTCTCGTGGGATCTTATGGAAAAAGCAATTTGTTTTTATTTATAAATTTTTCTCCACATTATGAAGATTGCATAAGCAACACACAAGTTCTCTAAGGCTGGGCCACCTGGCTTTAGAAATGCGAGCCACTAAACTCGCAGATAGTTTATTTCTGCGTTTGCAAATCCAAAAAGAAAGTCTTTCCAATTGAAAACCAAACTTGTTCTGAATAAAGTGTCTAATTCTGCATGACGTTTGCACCACAAAGTTTGAAAACTTTTGAAAAGCCTGAAATCCAGTTCAGCAAGTTGTAATGGAACAGTGCATGACATAATATACAGCAAAACAAAACAAAGCATCACAGCTTTATGCAAAAGTAATCCAGTAAATGCTTCAGAAGAAAAAAAGATCGGTTCAATAAACAGAGTAAAGGAACAGGTGTGTTGAAAACCTGATTTGAGGCGACAAAACAAAGCGTGTAAACGGAAAGGGTACGAAGCAGAAACACGAACGGTTTTTGACCATGCAAAGAGAAGATCAAAGAGAAGTTGATCAGAGCTTCTTAATGAATAAAAATGCGATCTGTCCAAAGGTTCAGTAGTTAGCAGCAGTTTGATTTTATCTCTAATGTGGCGCAGCTTCTGTATAGATAAATCATGTTTACAGCACACATTTTGACACATCGTGCTATGAAAGGAATGGGTTATATTAATGACTTTAATTATCAGTGCAGGTCAGTCCAGGTTCACTGATTAATGACTTAATAATGAGTTTTAATAATAATGTTGTTCGTTGGCGCCTTTCAAAGGATTCAAGGTCACCTTAAAACACAAAATGAACAAGAACAGCATTAAAAGAGATTTAAAATCCAAGAACACTATGAATGTAAAACGTATAAAACAAGATGGTTACAGCTGATATGCTAATGTAAACAGATGGGTTTTGTGCTGCGATTTAAAGAGTGTCAAAGAGTCTCGTTGATGAGCTGAGGTGAAGCACAGCTGTAGGCTGTAGCAGCTTTAAGGCTGAAGTGAAGACTTACAGGCCTCATTAGAGAAAATAGTAACACCTGTGAATTTTGTGCTATGAAGGAGTACCTGCTTACAGGAAAGTCTTCTAAATTCCCCAAGAATTCTCCTGGTGTGAAAAATGTATGTGTACTTATGTAACACATGACAACTCCTAATGTTTACTGGTGCCATTTTCTCTCTGTCAGCTCAATCATGGGAGACGCCGGCTGCTGCGAGCAATCAGAGTCCAAACCCCAACAACCCAGCTGAGTACTGCTCCACCATCCCCCCTCTGCAGCAGGCTCAGGCCTCTGGGGTGCTCAGCTCGCCCCCTCCAACCGTCATGGTGCCCGTGGGAGTGCTGAAGCAGCCTGGCAACGAGGGTATGACCTTTACGGCGAATAAAAGTACTCTTATGCTAATATCTTTTGTAACCCTTGAAAGTGACACTTTGACCTCTGCAGATTTTTCCTTATATGCTGATATTTCATTTAGAGTGTGTGTGTGTGTGTGTGTGCGTGTGCGTGTGCGCGCGTGTGTGTGTGTGTGAGAGAAATCTCAATGACAGTTTTAGCTTTTAACAGTCGATATAAATCGTAATGTAATCGATATATTGTGCTGTTTATTTCAAAATAATCATTTTTATGGCTCAGTGCACTACTTTCCCAACTGTTTACATTTCTAAATGATCACATTCACCCCACATCAGGCAGTGGTAGCTATAAAATTCATATGTCCTCCTCCCCCAAGTAAATTTTAATTAAAAATCCAAGGTAGTCCACTTAATTACATTTCTTTCTTAAAATAAATCGACTAGTAGGCAAACAATTTATTTATATAGCACTTTTCAAAGACAAGAGCAACTGTTTTGTGGAAAATAATCACACAAAAATTAAAAAGAATGTCCAGAGAATATATACATTTAAATGAAGAAGACAGAAGATTATTACATTGCAAAATAATTGATCAATAATACAACAATAATTGATCAATTGATCAACAGCTGTACAAGAAGCAAAAGACAAAATGTGTATACTGCTCAAAAGCCAAACTGCCATAAAACATGTTCTTGGGACAGTAACAGATATGTTTCTAAGTGATTTTTCAGTCTGTATGACCTCCAGACCTCCCACAGGTCAGGCTGCACAGCCTCAAACACTCCACCGCCACGTGTCTGTCTACTTTCAACAGCATACTGAAAAATTATGTATTTTAATATGCTCTAAAATCCTCTAACTTCACGTTGAAGCACCACAGATTTCCTGCTGCGAGGAAGGTGAAATCCAAGGTCAGAGGAGAGGTCAAAAGCTCAAATGGAGATGACATAAGATTCAAAATTGGACAGTTGAATTTCATGCTTGATAATAAAACTGGATGAACAGTTTAGGAAAATTGGCATCAACCTACTTCAGTTGGCTCATTTCTGCCAAAATTCAGGGGTCGAAGTGCCTTTATATTTATGTTATTCCAGGTTTCAGTTAAAAACTTTTTGTCAACCAATACCCTTAAGTGTCCTTTTCAGTTTTAGCCCCACAAAATCATTTGTGTGGCTTAATTTATTTTGAAAGAATTTTGGCTGTAGCCCAGTGTAATCATATTAAATAATTGTGATCTCAGCATTGACCAAAACAATTACGATTGATGCTTTTAATTTGACAGCGTGTCTTTGACATTCAGGGTCCGTCTCACGAGAGCAGAGGAGGGTGTGGTTCGCTGATGGAGTCCTACCCAATGGTGACACAGCAGAGTCACCCAAACTGCCGACCTCCAGCTCTGCTCCTTCGCAGTCACTCGCCATCAATAAATCCTCCACTTCTGAGTCCACTGAGGTAGGCTTGGCAGCCCCAACTAATACTATTAGGTTAGCTATGTATGGCCCTATTTGCTACTCTGCATTTTGCTGATGGGAGTCACAAAGAACTCTTTATGTGGTGGTATGCTGGCTCAGTCTCAGACTGTGATAAACAGCAGTAGGTCAAAGGAAACATTCCTTGTTGCATTATGAGAATTAGAAAATCCACTTGATTGAAATGCTTAAAGCTGGAATGTGCTTTACTCGGGTCACTCAGCTTGTTTCTAAGTGGATAACAGAACAGCAAGCCGTATCCGGTTGTTTCTGTGGTTTTGGTGTATCGAGCATCAGCTGTCAGGATGATTCATGGCCTCTGAAACAAAGTGACTCCCTGTGAATCCCAGAAAGCCTTATTATGCTTTGTAGACAGAACGTGAGCTTAAAACCAGACTTTAACATGTGAAAGTCAATGTGAGAATTCAAGTCTTGGTGAATTTGATGCCAGAAATTCTTCACCAGAGAAGACGAGCCCTTTAGTTTGACCGGAGCACACGAAAGGCATCTGCTGTGCATTCATGACTGTTTTCATGGTTTGCTTCTCAAATAAAAGCGACTAACCTAAAAAGGGCACAGTGAGAGAGGCTTTGGTTCAGGCCAGAAGAAAAAGACCCACAATCAGTTTTTAATTTTACTTATCACAGGGAAGAGTACAATGGAGCCAGTGAAACAAGTTAGACGATGTCCTCTGCCGCTGTGGAGGAGCTTTATCAAATCTGACAAAATGACTCAAGCTGCATAAGTAATCACATTTTGGTAGATTTATAACAGACCGGTCGCAAAGTCTTTGAAAGAAGGTCGAGAGCAATTAATATAAGATGCTATTAATTTGTATTGAGCTTGTTCAAGAAACTTAATGTCGAGATAGCTGTGGTCTCTAATGTCGACCCAATATTTGTCTTTAAATAAAATTTAAAGGAACTTTATTGTGTTAGTTTTCCAGTGTGACGATTTCATTTTTGGAATCTAGTAAAGTAGCTTTGCATGATTTACAGGTCATAATAATCCTTATTTATCTTGTAGACTGTAAATAAACGATGAGTGTAGCCACCACCAGGAGTAATGCAAGAGGCCACCAGGATATCCGGTTGTTAAGTGATGACGCGACGAATCCTACTTCCGGGCCTAAAGTAGTCTGCGTTTAATATGGCTTTTGTGTTGTTAACATGTTTAATGTTATGTATTTTCTTCTATTTGATCTCAAAAAGCTCCTAAAACAGTCAGTGATCACTGTTGACC